AATTAGGTCACACAAACATTGTATGTTTATAATAGTAAAGCAACAAATGGTACACTGGAAATAATGCTTGGAATTTTACCGTCAAAAGACTGTAAAAATGCTCACTCTTTAAAATAGGTTGTTTATTGGCATCTATGAAGAAACTTTAACATCCATGAAACCTTTTCCATTGCACAAAAAATTCTTTATTGTGGAAAAAAGTCTTTTTAGATTATTAAAATTTTCTTCGCACTAAGAAAAAAATGGCTTTTTTAAATGGCTGTTTTAAACACGGAAACCCACAATGGTTTTTCTATGGCATCACTGCAAAAGCCCCCTTTTGGAAATAAAAAAAAAAATAGTTTACTGTAAAAAAAAAAGTACATTTTTATATTACATTACTGTAAATTGTATGGTTTATGGAAGTATGCATTGTATTTACACTTTAAATGTATATAATATTTAGTTTATTTATATTACTTTTACAGTAAATTATTAAATAATAATGTTTTTTGAAAGTAAAAAAACTTTCTGTGAAAACTGTATTTTTAAAATTTTTTTTTTTTTTGCAGTTATGTATTTTAGGGTGTTTTATGTTACTATTTATGTTATTTAGTTAATGTTACGCCACCAAAACCACCCACTAAACGTATTACTCACTAAAAAGTGTGTGGCCAAACAATTTAGGTTGTCTGAACAGCATAGTTTATCAGTATGACTAGACACAACACGCAAATGTTAAAGGACTAGTTCACTTTCAAATTAAATTTCCTGATAATTTACTCACCCCCATGTCATCCAAGATGTTTACGTCTTTCTTTCTTCAGTCGAAAAGAAATTAAGGTTTTTGATGAAAACATTCCAGGATTATTCTCCTTATAGTGGACTTCAACGGCTACCAAACGGTTGAAGGTCAAAATTACAGTTTCAGTGCAGCTTCAAAGGGCTCTACACGATACCAGACGAGAAATAATGGTCTTATCTAGCGAAATGATCGGTCATTTTCTAAAAAATTTTACAATTTATACACTTTTTAGCCTCAAACGCTCGTCTTGTGTAGCTCTGTGTGAACTCTGTGCATTCCGGTTCATGACAGTTAGGGTATGTCGAAAAACTCCTATCTCATTTTCTCCTCCAACTTCAAAATCGTCCTAAATCGTCCTACATCGCTGTTTTACCTTTTTTTTTTTTATAAAGGGCGTTTGACCTTCTTTGCATGTTCACTTTGTAAACACTGGGTCGGTACTTCTGCAGCGATGTAGGACAATTTTGAAGTTGGAGGAGAAAATGAGATGGGAGTTTTTCGACATACCCTGTTTCGAACGGGACTGCACAGCACTGCACAGAGCTACACAAGACGAGCGTTTGAGGTTAAAAAGTATATACTTTTTTATTTTTTTTAGAAAATGGCCGATCGTTTCGCTAGATAAGACCCTTATTTCTCGTCTGGTATCGTGTAGAGCCCTTTGAAGCTGCACTGAAACTGTAATTTTGACCTTCAACCGTTTGGTAGCCATTGAAGTCCACTATAAGGAGAATAATCCTGGAATGTTTTCATCAAAAACCTTAATTTCTTTTCGACTGAAGAAAGAAAGACGTAAACATCTTGGATGACATGGGGGTAAGTAAATTACCAGGAAATTTTAATTTGAAAGTGAACTAATCCTTTAAACTTTTGCAGTCTGTCTGCTTCTTTACATTATTGTTCCCTTGTTACTCTACATGAATGACCAGCATTGTTTTAGTGCGTCCAAGTACTGCAGTCAAAAAACCTCTGGTCCTGCTACAAGGCTTTTGGGTACACTAAACCTTTTCAAAGGGCTACCTGTGAGAAATGTGTGTACATTTGGCATCCTTCACTGGTAATTCCTCTTTTTTTCCAGTTTATAACTTCCTCAACCTCCACCAAATGTTCAGCACCACACCCCAGCCCGCTCTCTGACCCTTGTGACCCTTACTGTCTATAAACCTCTGACATGAAACCAGGCTTGTCACTAGACAGTTTGCCAAAAGGGATCAGGCCAGACTACGATTCCAGCCTGAGTACATTTGAACAGATAAATATTTTGAGCAGATGACCAGTATAATTGGGCTTTTAGTTGAGCGGTTTATACAGTATAAACAACCCTGGGTACACCAAAGAAACTGAGGCAGTTTAAATCCTTAAGGCCAAAGGTAATCCTGTAGTCAGCTTGAATTTTATCCCATTTTATTTGCACAATTTGACATATTTCCATGCAACACAGGATATCCAGTATCTCTGTCCCATTTTGGCTGATACGGGAGATTTTTTTTTTTTCTGTATCGGTATACCCTATTTTTGCATTTAGATTACCTTAGCTGTCATTTAACACTCACTTAAAGTTAATCTTTAGCAAATCTCAGAATGAAGACTGATTTTTAATACTGTACATTATGATGTTATTGCTATATTCACTTAGTATTTCAAATTATTTTCGTTTTTAAGTGTTTTATTTTTTAATTTATTTAGACTAAATAGACCCTTTATCAGCTCTTGGTCAAAACATGAAAATGACTTTCAACTAGGGCTGCACGATTATGACAAAAATCATAATTGTCGATTATTCCCTTGAAATTGTTTTTCGGCCAATCACAATGCACTGGGTTAGCTGGCCAATCAGAGCAGACTGCGCTTGTCAAAGGAGGGGGCTTTGTAGAAAACGAAGCGTTTGAGAGAGGGGGGCACATAGGACCTACAATAATGTACAGTATTTGAAAAATAATGTGTTTTTTGAACATTAAAGCATGTCAACATATTCTGTTACACCAAATACACAAAATAATGATCTTTAAAAAAGCATCATATTACCCCTTTAAAAGCTCAAGGAGAAAAAATTCTAGTGGCACAGCTCATGTTACAGTTTTCAATCTTGAGACAATCATGTCACTGTTCAGACTCTCTAAAAGCATGTTGTGACTCAATAACAGTGAACTGCGAGGTAAATAATGGGGCTGTGTCATTCCCATAGGGAACGGAAGACTGGATCCACATGACTAAGATTTTTAAGTACGACACATAGAAACCTTATTAATGGCAAGTACAGATTCAAAAAGAATACTGGCAAAAACACTGACAGACCGCAAAGGGCAAATGACCGCATTTTGGGTGGTTACTTTATTAATATGCAGAGATCCCGGTTCTGTCATGAAATACGAACGCTAAATTAATTTCCGGCTAACAGCTTGTTCATTTCCACTGCAAGTCAGGAAAGACGCAAACCTCTCGAAACAGCCACTAAAGTTAACTTTTCACAAATAGGTGGAAAAAACCTTCTCCCTTGATTCAAGAAGACTGGTTCAAAGCCAGTGAGCTGAGGCAAGGGCTGGCGGTGCAGCCAAAGAGTACGCTTTTCTCACTGTTTGAAGAATGCCATGCATATTTCTGAAAGGTCCTTGACTTTCATTGCTTTTTCCTCTCTGGCGCATCTAGAGCTGTCGGCCAGATGTCGGATGCTCTCCGATGGTTTCTGCCGAAGCTGCGGGGTTCTAATCAAACTATAAGCCCTCTAAAGCACTTTAAGAGGCCACTGGCCTGTGTGTATTTTTCTTATCTTCTATTAGCAGCTCAAGACAGGGCTTGGGTTCTGTTCCAGCGGTGGGCACACCTATACTAATCATCTCTGAACGCTGCTTGAATTAACCATGAACTGGGAGGGAAAGCCCCAGTGGGATGCAAAACATTCTTGCAATTTTTTATGCCTCAGCTCTCTCCATCTGAGAGAAATATGAAATAGAGACCAGTTGCACAGGAAATCAAGGCCTTAGTTAGTAGTCAGTAATATATATAGATTATTTGGAGGCTTGCAGCCAGACAGTGAATCAAGTGTGAATCTACAAGCCAATAAGAATGGTGTGAATGTATCATCATCCTGTTTGGGTTTCAGTCTTTTACCAGCAGACAAGAGTGTCACATCCACATTTGTTGTGTATCTCACTGTGATTTTCCCATGCAACAGGCAATTTGCTTTCAACAAATACTAAGCCAAAATGATCTGGTCTAATCTTGGATTGTATACCCTTAATGTACTGTTTTGGCTCTGTGTATTCAGGGCAGTTGAAAGCTTTCGGTGGAAACCAGACATAATGAGTTGTTTCTGAGGAATGAAATAGAGAAGCCAGATATAAATAGATATAAACAGGCCTCAAAACGTCATTCAGCTCAAGCAGGAGGACTGTATGTGTGCTGAAGATAACAGACCGACAGACAGGACACTTTATCTGCTGTTATCCACACTGGGCACTAAAACAATAGCACAGATGCATAAGTAGAAAAAACACTGGCGAGATAAACAACACATTAAGGTACAACCAATAAAAGGGTAATAAAAGTTTTCAATTTTCACAACCCAGAACCTCACAGATCTGGACTGTCGCTGACTGATTCAGTGCTGTTCAGTTACTCAGACAGCATAAATGCATTTACACAGGAATTACAGTTGCAGAATAAATGTTACGACATTATGAATTTATGAATAATATAAATAAAGAGCTGAGTAATTAATTACAAAGTATAAATAATAACATAATTACGTAAAAAATTAATAACATAAATAATAAAAAAATAGATGTAATACAATTCAAAATAATATTATACTACAAATTTTAAGGCTGCTCTGATGCTGCATTTCATTCACAGAAGTAAAGCAGCATTAGAGCAGCCTCTAATAGTAAGGAGGGTCAAAGTTTGCATGTTGTAGCACTGCTTTTATATGGCATTTTTGTTAGTAAAAGAGTAATAAAACATCCACCTCAGCCCCAGTGGTTGTGATGCTGCATTTCATCTACAAAGCAGCATCAGAGCAGCCTTGAACTTTGTTGTTGTCATGACAGAGGATATATGTGTAGTTTCAGGTTTCTCTAATAAAAATTACTTTACATTTGTGCAGCATTAGACAAAATACGTGCAGCCTTTGTGGTGTAAATGCATTTGTAATAAACTCGCTATAGTAACAATTTTGCATTGTGACGTAGCATCGTTGAGATTGTTGACACGCACTTACCAACATCAGCATTGCAGAACGCCTGTTGAGGATGAACGGGGGAACAACTGCACGCTTCAGCGATCTCTCCCACCCGAAACAGTACCAGCACCACAAGTGTGCCAATACAGCTCCTGACGCTCTTCATTGCTTCACTTTAATATCTGACAGCAAAATTAGAAGCAGGTAGACGATCTTCTAAAATGTCAACAATGATCCAGCCCCTCACACAGCCGAAAAGTACAATGCCCACCGCCGTTCGAGATGCCCACACGCTGAGTATTAGTATGACTACTGGTGTTAAATTCCTCAGAGACGAACGGGCTTGTTGGTAATAAAGAAAGTGCTCTGCTGCTCTATCTTTAATGGTCTTTCCAGGCTTCTTTCTTTTCCACTGCCTTCTGCGGGTGTGTTCTCATGGAGAGACCAGGTTCATGCCTTAATACTGCGCGTGGACTCCTCCCTTTAAACCAGATTCAACCAGAGGTGGGCGCTTCATGAAGGTCTTCCAAAGATTTCTTTCACTCTTTCTGTCAGAAGTTTTATACAAACACACACATTCAAGTATTAAATAAAACCTATCCTAAATGATTTTATAGCATAAAATAAGCTGCTTTTTATTCTTTTTTTTTTTTTTACATATTAAAGACACGTGCTTGTGTTTATGCATCGTGTTATTATGCTAATGTAGCCTACTGTACCGATCACATAGTGTAGGCTACAAACTGACATCACAGCAACCGAAACATTAAAGTGGTTGGTCACTCAAAAATGAAGAGTATGGTTCTTTTCCAAGTCTTCTAAAGCCACGTGATAGTTTTGTGTTAGAAAGAAATTCCGGAACATTCTTTATTCTCTAAAACAATCTTGACATTCGCCCTCGAGCTCCTCGTTGATCGTTGATTCGGTTCACAAAACCTGTGTAAATGATTCATTAATTTAGTGATTTAAACTGCAGTCTATTTCTTACTAAAAACTATTATATAAATTCAGTAGACTTGGAATATAGAGCTGGATTATGGAGCGAATTTTGTACTTATATACATCAAACAAATCCAGCATTTTGCAAATAAACACAATCTGCTTTGCAAAGAAAAACTCGACTTTCAAACAAACGCAAAGTGATTTGCAAATACAAAACTCTATTTGAGAGAAAATGCATAGGTATGGACAAATATACGTATTGTGTGTTACAACTGTGAGACTCATTTGCCTTTTTATGAGGAAACTTGGCTTAATTTTCGCACATATGTGTGCAGGCAGATTTTCTCACAAATGCAATTGAGCAACTTCCTTTTCAAAAACAGTAGATGGCGTTGTCGGTCAATTTACGCTAGTTTCCCGAGACTCGAAATACCTGTTTACCTTTTCAGGGAATACAGCAGACCAACATGAGTGGAGAACAGGTGAGTTTCTGTCTTACTATATCTATAATTAACCATTTAGATGTTTTAGAAGTGACACTACTACAATGTCAGTGAAATTCACAATAAGTGCTGTAAAGTTAACATGATTGATTAGTTCAAAAATCATTGGTGACATGGCTAAACATTTAACTAGGCAGTCTTTCCCTATAAAAACTGATCCATTCTCTGTACCTCTTATCCTCTGTTGGATCGCGGGATATAGAATATATACATATGTTGATACAATTGTTCAAATTCCAAACAATGCAGGGGTATAACAATATATCGTGTCACAATATATGTAATACTAAAATGCAAAAGTGTTATGGATAGCTACAATATTGTGTACCAAAAAAGAAAGCTTAGACAATTTGTGACCCTGGACCACAAAACCAGTCATAAGTAGCACGGGTAAATTTGTAGCAATAGCCAAAAATACATTGGGTCAAAATTATCGATTTTTCTTTTATGCCAAAAATCATTAAGATATCAAGTAAAGATCATGTTCCATGAATACATTTTGTAAATTTCCGACCGTAAATATATAAAAAAATATATTATCGTTAGTAACATGCATTGCTAAGGACTTAATTTGGACAACTTTAAAGGCGATTTTCTCAATATTTTGATTTTTTTTGCACCCTCAGATTCCAGATTTTCAAATAGTTGTATCTCAGCCTAATATTGTCCTATCCTAACAAACCATACATCAATTGAAAGCTTATTTATTCAGCTTTCAGATGATATTTGATTGGACCCTTATGACTGATGTTGTGGTCCAGGGTCACATTTAATTTTATATTAGATATAGTAATACCCAAGAGGTCATTAATTATTCATAACAAATTATATATTATTGTGACACGATATATTGTTATACCCCTGCATTGTTTTGAATGTTGAACAATTGTATCAACATATGTATATATTCTATATCCCGCAATCCAACCGACGATAAGAGGTACGGAGAATGGATGAGAATTGATTTGTGAGAAATTCTGCCTGCACGCATTTGTGAGAAAATTTGCCTGCACGCATTTATGAGAAAATCAAGCCAAGTTTCCTCATAAAAAGGCAAATCAGTCTCACAGTTGTAACACACAATACATATATTTGTCCATACCTCTGCATTTTACTCTCAAATAGAGTTTTGTATTTGCAAATTGCCACTTTTATTTTTTACTTTTATTTTTACCCTTATTGAACCACAATCCCACAATAAAAAAACTAATTTCCTTCTCATATTAATACACAAAAGCACACCAGAGACGCTGAATCGGGAACTTTAGCTGCTATCACATCTATAAGGAATTTGCTCTTGTAGTCATAAACCTACTGAAGTCTCTTTATTGTTTCTCTTCCCACTCAGAACAGCAGTAAAAAGGCTCTCTTTGCTCCTTCGTCTGCCATGAGGCTGTGTCTGCAGCTGGCACATTCTCGTTGTTTCCACTCTGACTAGAGGGGAAAAGCAAAAATCCACAATGTGCTGCTCTGAGAGAGAAGTAAAATAAATAAATTAATGCAATGGTTGGAAAATCTCATGGCAAGTTTGTTGGCAATGACTCCATCATTATGGTGACATCACCTCTCTGGCTGTGGCTGAGCAGCCCCTGTGGATTCATGGATTCAAATGTCACAGTACCTTCTTTTTATTTCATTTTTTTGCCTTTCTTAAGAAAAACTATAGTTAAAAAGAGCACTGAGTCTTGTTTTATCTTAGATGTTAAGGCCCAATCACAAGACACAAATCCTCAGGCCTGAGACTAGTCAAATATGCTGTACTAGTTCTGATTGAGTTCTAGCAAAAAGCTTGGTATTGATGGTGTGCCTTTGTGAAGGAAAGAAACTTTGCGACTTGGTCTGCTGTTGTGTATTTGACGGTGTGCAGCACAGACAAAAGCAATTTAGTGTCTGTGGTAATACTTAACCAGGAAACTATGTCAAAAATGTGTATGTGGTGCCCAGAAAGAGCGTTTTTGTGTTTTTTTCCCCCTTAAAAAATATGCACTGACAGAGCTATACAATGCAACTAAACTTTCTTGTAATGGCCAATTTGTAAACAGTGGCAACAGTGAACTAATCTGCAAATCTATATGGAATATGTACATAATGATTTACAGTTTACAGCCTGGCTTTTCCCATCATAGGGCTGCATTTTTTCAACAGAAGTTTTCCTTTAGGAACGTAGCAAGATTATTGTCTGGGTCTGTGCCTTTGCAGAGTTTGGAATAACAATTACTGCTGCTGTCAATCATTTAAACCATTTTCAGTAGTGAATAGAGAGTGAGGGTGCAGACATACTGCATGAGAATGAAAGCAGAAGAGCAGAACATTTATCCACTTATAATGTGGACCCACTCTTTAATTTATATTAAGACTCAATCCTGTACCCTGTTGAAAAAACCAGCATATGCTGGTTAGGTATGTTTTGATGCTGGTTTAAGCTGGTCCTTTGCTGGTTTATGCAGGTCCTTTGCTGGTTTATGCAGGTCCTTTTGCTGGTTTATGCAGGTCCTTTGCTGGTTTATGCAGGTCCTTTGCTGGTTTATGCTGGTCATGTGCTGGCAAAGGACCAGCATAAACCAGCAAAGGACCAGTTTAACCCAGCAAAGGACCAGTTTAACCCAGCAAAGGACCAGTTTAACCCAGCAAAGGACCAGTTTAACCCAGCAAAGGACCAGTTTAACCCAGCAAAGGACCAGTTTAACCCAGCAAAGGACCAGTTTAACCCAGCAAAGGACCAGTTTAACCCAGCAAAGGACCAGTTTAACCCAGCAAAGGACCAGTTTAACCCAGCAAAGGACCAGTTTAACCCAGCAAAGGACCAGTTTAACCCAGCAAAGGACCAGTTTAACCCAGCAAAGGACCAGTTTAACCCAGCAAAGGACCAGCTTAAACCAGCATCCCAGCGTCAAAACATACCTAACCAGCATATGCTGGTTTTTTCAACAGGATATTTAGATGTAGCATCCTGAAAATAGACAATATTTAATGGGCAACAGGTAAATACCATCTAGGAAGTAAAAGTATATGCTTAACAAAATAATGCATAGGAGAAGTTACACGTTTTAAAACGACACCAACATAATTTCACGTTTGTAAATGACAGCAAAAAATCTTATTGTATTTATGGTTTCTGTTGGGTGACAACAGCATTTTTAGCATTCAAGTTCCAAATGCATCCTTTTATTTTATTTTATTATTTTATTTTTGGTGAAAGTGCACTAATGAGTTATATTTAACCTTTTGTGTCATTTAAAAGTCCTCTCTTCAATCTCTCAAGAGGTTGGGGAGACTCCTGCTGGACAGAATAAAACATGGCGGGAAAAAGACAGGAAAGGACTGACTAGAAAATCAAACGATCAAAAACTGCCTATAAAATAAAAAAATATATATATGCAAAATCTTACTAAAAACGGTAACATTTTAATTTCACTAATATTAGGTAGACAAATATTTGCTCATAGCGCTAAAGAGACTGGATGTGTCTAAAAACCTAGTGAGCGTCCTAAATAGGAAGATTTTAGGGCATTTCTGCGAGCTCACGATGCCCAGAAATGCTGTAGTGTAGCCTATATGTATGCAGCTCAGTAGGTTTTCAGACACGGTCTAGGTATGTGTACAGTTCACTGTGAGTGGAGCAGATGTAACCTGGAAGAGGACCA